TTGAACTGCTGGAGCCTTTTTATCCTGTCAGAACTCAGGGCTAGTTGATTGGATGTTTCTGCGGGCAGCCTTCAAGCGACCTTTTCCTCATAAGTCTTCCCCAAAGCCTGGCCCTCAGCCTATCTACTGGGGGAGGAGAAACTGGAGGAGATTCAGCTGTTTGTGTTTCTAATCGCTCAGCATTCTCCTCAGCTACAGTTAAGCCCTCAGGTTCCAGATCTTCGGCTGCACTCATGACACAAGGAGGCTACCCAATCAAAAAATGACATCAGTCTGGCAGGATTTGTTCTTGAGAAATCTATGTAGGCTTCTAGTTACTCTAGAAGACCTAACCTGAAAATAAGCCCTAGTATGATTTTTCAGGGTGCTCTTAATATAAGCCCTACCGCCAAAACAGTTAAGTGAAACCCATTATTGTGATGGATTTCCCCTGAAAATGAACCCTAATGCTTTTTTTCGGGAGCAAAAATTAAAGTAAGACCCTGTCTATTATTGGGTAAACACAATATTACAGCATTGTTTTCTAGGTGTTTGCAGTGACCATTTTATAATCTGTTCCAGAATTTTTTCTGGGATTGATGTCAGGCTGACCGGTCTGTAGTTCCCAGGCCCTCCCTTTTGAATACAGGAACAACATTAGCTCTCCTCCAATCATCTGGCACCTCACCCATTTCTCATGATTTCAAGAAAATAATGGACAGTGGTTCTTATAGTTCTTCAGCCAGTCCCTTCAATACTCTTGGATACAGTTCATCCAGCCCTGGTCATCTGAACTTGTTCAAGGCAGCAAGGTATTCCTTGACTATTTATTTATCAATAAATAAATTTTAGCTGCAATCCTGCTCCCTCCACTTGCACTTCACATTTTTCTTTAGGGTCATCGTCTGTCCCTTGGGAAAAGACTGAGCTAAAATAGGAATTGAGTACTTCTGTTGAGTACTTTTGTTTTGTATTGAGTACTTTTCTTTAACCTGTTATCATTTTTCCATCTCCATTGAGTAGCTGAGCCACTTTTCTTTGTCTTTTCCTATGCAGATACCTGAAAATTTTTTTGTTACTTTTAGTGTCTCTAGCTAACCTCAGCTCATTCACAGCTTCTGCCCTCCTAATGGCATTCCTGCAATTCCTTGAAACTTATCTGTACTCTTCCTTTGTGGCCTGGTCTCCTTTCCACTTCCTATATGTGTCCTTTTTCACTTTTAGGTCCTCTCAGCATTTTGTGAAGCAACACTGGCCTTTTTTGGTGTCTCCCACCTTTTTTTTCTTGTTAGAATTGCTTGTAATTGTGCCTTTAGAATTTCCTTTTTTAGAAAATCCCATCCTTCTTGGACTCCTTTTCTTGTTCCAGTACTACAATGGTGCCCCCAATGTCAACAGGTTTAGTTGTTGATGATTTAGCTGCAAACCACCTGTCCTTGTAATTATTATAATAATGGAATCTCACAATTGTAGAGCTGCAAGGGAGTCCAGCAGCCACTGAGCCCAACTCCCTACCAAAGCAGGAAATTAACAGCTAAAGCATTCCTGACAAGCAGCCACCTAAACTGTTTAAAAACCTCCAATGAAGGAGAGACCATCAAACTCTCAGGCAGTTCATTCACTAATCAGCTCATTATCAATAAGTTCTTCCTAACATTTAGGAAAAATATTCTTTCTTGTAAGCTAAATCTATTACTTTGGTCCTATCCTCTGAAACTATAGTAAACAACGTGTTCCATTTTTTCATGTAAGTCCTTAAAACAGTTGAAGATAGCCATTATTTTATCTTTTTAAATGGTTTTTTAAAAATTTGTTTCAATGGGGTTTCATGTCATGACTTAATGTTCAGTTTTTTTTAATAGTGTGATTTTTTAAAAATATTTCTAATTGTTTTAGTATTTCTGTTAAATAATTTCCAAACCAACTTGGGTCCCTCTACAGGAAAGAAAAGAAAAGCAGAAATTAATTAATGTTTAGTGATGTTCTAAGACTCCTAGTTTCTTTTAACACATTCTACTGCTAAGCCAGATGTCACCCATCTTCTGTTTATGCTTCTCACTTTAGAAAAACACATTTTGTTTATTTTGGCCTAGTTTTCCACTCTAGTAAGGTTATCTTGAATTCTGGTTCTGTCTTCTGACCCAGTTACCAGTGCACTAGAGGAGGTCTGAGATGACACCTTAGCGTCAAAGTTTGGCCTGCAGGAATCCAGGTGGCTGACTGAGAATGCTGCTCAGTTCAGCCCTGTATAGAAGAACCTTTATCTTATGTTCATAAACATTAATGCCAGGAACTGTGCAGTTGGGAGTTTCCATATGTGAGAAGCTACCTTCCAAAGTGAATATGGATTCTGTTAGGGGAGGCTCACAGAACTGTGTACAGGTTCTGATTAAGAGAAGAAAGATCTTGTGTCCAAAGTTCAGTTTTTACTTTCTGATATTTTTAACCAACGAACCTGTTACAAACAACAAACATAGAACTCTAAATTAATAAAAAAAATACTGATTTTTTTAAAAAAATCAGTTAAACAGAGATCCTCTTCTTTGAAAGAACTGACTAGCTAAGCATGTTTCTAATAATAACTGGCAAGAGCATGCATAAAGAAAAAGACACAGATATAAAACACAAGAAGTGTGAGAGGAGGTGTGAGAATATAACAACCTACAGAAGATATTAAATACTATTTAAAACCAGGTCAATTCAAGCACTAATTACTTTACCTTGTGGCCCATACTGGCTCATTTGAGTTCCATAAGTGCTGCTGGAATTACTCTGTGGAAAGCTCCCAATTCCAGAGTGCATTTGGCCTCCTGGTGAAGGGTGGGGTGACATGGAAGGTCCTGTCTGCTGAGATGGGTACTGAGACAACTGAGGATTTCTCTGAATGCCTGCCATGAACCCTAGAGGAAAACAGAGTGACAAATAAGAGACTTCTACATCATGTTTCAGTTTCACAATCTGAATATAAGTATGAGCAAAAACCTGAGCATTACAAAAGTGTTCCAATTTCAAATGAGAGACAAGTATCACCTTGTGAATACAGTGGTGATTGTTTGCTTTTTTATTTCATTTCACATTAAGAAAAAAAATTCTGGAAAACTCAATAATAAATGTAGTAATCAATATTAAAAGAAGTGAAACTGAGAAAAAAAAGGAACTGGCAATTACTGGGAGTTTCATAAATGTAAAAGTTGTGCAAGTCATAATAGAAGTAGAAATATCTAAGATGCTCATGTGTTCTTGAATGGGGGCATTTGTTACAAATATTCATACCTATTTCATAAAAATTATACTTGATGTCTAACTTTTGTTTAGAATAAGAAGCGGCAGCTATCTCATTTACTTGGGCCACAGCAGTTGGCCTCAAACATAATATTTACTATATTAAGCAGCTTGCATAATACAAACATTCTAAGTAACAAGATGATCTTAGATACAAGTATTTATTACTTCATTTCATAGAGGAGGAAGGCTAGTATCTTGTGATGTCTATTCAGTCCAACACACTTTCAAAGCAAGTTGCTTGGATATTTGTGTTTAATGGTTTCACCTTGATGCTGAGGATAAGACTTTGAGGAGGGCTTTTAAGTGCCAACAACACATATTAGGGACGTGGTGGCACTGTGGATTAAACCACAGAAGCCTCTGTGATACAGGGTCAGAAGACCAGCAGTCGTAAGGTTGAATCCACGCGACTGAGTAAGCTCCCGTCGCTTTGTCCCACCTCCTCGCCAACCTATCAGTTGGAAAGCATGCAAATGCGAGTAGATAAATAGGGACCACCTTGGTGGGAAGGTAACAGCGTTCCGTGCCTAAGTCGCGCTGGCCATGTGACAACAGGAACTGTCTTTGGACAAACGCTGGCTCTATGGCTTGGAAAAGGGGATGAGCACTGCCCCCTACAGTCGGACACGACTGACTAAATGTCAAGGGGAACCTTTACGTTTACCTAACACACATTAAATCTGCAGTCCTTAGGATGACAAAGCCCAGCTACTCTTTGGTAGCCCTAATCAACAGAGAGGACTAGCAAGATCAGCACATAGTCCAACAGAACTCTTGCTCAAAGACAAAAGCTAGTATATGCAGTTCTCTACTCATTCTGCCTTCTGCTCTTTCTAATCTAGTGTTCATACTTGGTTAGTGAACAGTAAGCTCATTGTGAGGAAAATTATTCTTTACAAAATTCTTAATCAAGGAATTAGCACTAGAAGACTTATGTTATAGCATGTTTTCTGTGTAGAGAGACAAATCCCTTGTCATTGGACCAGAGGTACAAAAACCAGGATTGTCCTAACTTGTGTTACATTTTATTTTGTTTGTTTTTGTCATTTCCTGATCTTGAACACATCTGTACATTTGCTGCAGATGCAAGTTTTCTCTTCCCAATAAACATTGGTGCAGTTGTCCCACAGAGGAGCTATAATTTTACTTTACTCTCATGAATTTCTTTGGAGACTAAAACTTACAAATAGGAAACAGGTTGTAGGAGGAAATCTGAAGCAAAGGGGAAACAGACTAGAAAATAGAATAACAAAAATCTAGAATCATTTCAAAGGAGGTAAGGAGAAGTACTAATTCCCCTAATAATATACAAACATATCACTACACACCAACAGTTTCTGGCAATTTTTATATATATTTTAATTGTATTTTAATTGTTCTAAATTTTATTGTATTTTAAATGTTGTAAGTCGCCCAGAGACCTTTGGGTAGTGTGGGCGGCATATAAATTAAATAAAAATAAATAAATAAATAAAGAAATAAAGAACTGAAACAAACAAAAGGTAATTTAATCTTCTTGTATAAGAACGCCTCCTCCCGATGAGATCTGCCCAATCTATTTGATCTTCTCAGGTCTGGAGGTTGAGACCACTCATCCCAAGAGAAGCCTGAAAAGAGGAGACTAGAAACCTGGCCTTCTCAGCAGTTGCTCCTCACCTCTGACATGATCTCCCGCCTGATAGTCATTTGATCCCTTCACAGGGAATTTTTAAAAGATCTTTTTAGGGAAGCTTTTCTGGAATTGACATCTGTATAAAGTGCTCCAATCTCTAGTGTTTATTTCTGTCCTGCCACCTTACCTCTTAATCATTTATGTCTATGTTGATTTTATTTTATGGTGTATGTTTTTTGTTTGTGTTTGGTTTTGCTTAATTTTGAGTTTATATTATAGTTGTATTTTGCCATACGTCTTTATTTAGTGTCTTAATTTTCTTACTGTAAACTGCCCAGAGTGGCCTTGTAGCCAGATGGGCGGTACAGAAGCTGAACAAATATAAACATATAACGTTTAACACTTTGTAGTAACAATTCCTCTCCCCCCCCCTTTACTGAACTATCAGCACAATATGACTCTCCTTCAGGGACTAACAGAATCAAAGAGTTTGATAAAGGCTCTTCTATAATATTATTTGGAGTGTAGATAACCTGAAAGAAATTAAAAGTAACTTGTCCAAATCAGAATAATCTGCCAAATGAGATTGTCAGGAACAGACCATGTTCATTTCAGTTAATGAAACAAAGCATCCAATGAACCTGCATGCAAAAGATCCATTAACTCATATGTTGAATGCCATCCTGATCATGTAATTTGCTGTCAAAGAACAGAACACAATTCTAAACATAGGAGGAGATGAATAGAGATGGACAGAGCAGCTGTAAAAGGGATTCAACTTTCAAGGGAGTTTATCTCCTCAGGCTCCAAGGGCACATAATGTTATGTATTTGTAGGAGAAGGAATGGTCTGTTAACAAAACACTATTGGTCAAATATTCTCAGTAGATAGGGAGACACATTACAAAATCAATTGGAAAAGAATCACAAAAGCACTGGAAAATGAAGACACAGTGTTTTCTTAACTAGCTTCTAATAATACATCATAGCCCACTTTGCAAAATGTCAGATACTGAATTTCAAAAGCAGGGAATGAGGGTGGAGTAAAGATTTCTGTGTCAAGAAAACCAGGTTAAGGCAAGTCTTGACTAATGACGGTTAATCTGATAAATACTCTCTCTGTTTTCCTGCTGTGCAACAGTTGACACAGAAATGAAGACGTTTTGGTGAAATGTTTCATTGGCTAACAAAATTCAAGATCTTCTTGGAGCCACATCTGGTTGTTGCTAAAGTATTAAAGGTTCAGTGGGTCACAAAAACACACAGAACATTTTGCTTGCTACCCCAACCACTTATATTCCTGTTTGCATCTGCCACATGTAGAATAGTTGGCACGTTTCTTTTCATCAGATCAATGCAAGATGTTATTCCTACTACTTAGATGAAGTAACAATCTTGCAACTCGACACCTTAGCAAATTTCTCTCTCACTGCTAATGCCCATTTACTTCCTCTTGAAAGAGCCAGGCTTCTAGTGGCTAGAGAGATAAGTTTAATTTCCTACACACTTCAAACTCCTCTGTATTTAAATTCTGTATACTTTCCATTTTTATTTGTTTTCCCATTTCTCTTCACGAACCAAAATGCTTTGGTGAAGGCAGAAAATAATGACCTAGCTAAAGCTTTAACATAGACCCCCTAGTGTTCAACCAGCTGTGCTATTAAGTTAAGTGGCTGAATCTGTCTCCCAATTCCCTCTCTGTTGCAACAAAAACCTCATCTATGTATGGCAAGCAGTGATATCTCCTTTACTCTCTACCCGTCTAGCCTTGAAATTAATATCATCTATCACTGAAAAATTGGAACTGGGGTAAGGTTTAGGCAGATCACCCAGATGGTAGCCTGGGAACCAAAATCCAACCTTTCCCTGTGCAAATCTTGCCTAATGCTGTCTGATATATATTTCACAGTGATGCATCAGGGATATAGTGGCATTTGTCAATACAATAAAAGATGCAAAGAAATGATAGATCTTCTGAAACATTAACCTATTATTTTGTGTGCAACTGACCTGCCATTTAATGCTTTAAAAAAACTGTTCACATCTAACTTCCATTACTTAATTATTTACTGCAGTAATTCTGGCTAATGGCTATGTTGTCTGGAATGGTGGGAGTTGTACTCTGCAGTAATCTGTGGGGGACCAGGTGAAGTATTCTTCCATTTGGCTGCAATGACATGCACAAACATTTCCAAAAGAATTGCAAGAGGAGCATTTCTTGCAAAGGAGCCCTGAGGTGAACACTCTTCATTGAAAAAAAAAAAAAAAAAGGCTGCTGACTTTGTGGCCAGGAAGATGGCTTCTCAACACTTTTTTGCCAAAAAAGCCAGGGCTTAGCTTCTGACAATAACCAAGAGACACAATAAATTTGATTGTTCAAGTGCACAAGCCCTTAAAAAAAGGAACAAGATTTTACCTGAGATTCAAATTCAGAATGGTCTAAATGGTTGTTGTGCTTCAAGGTCAAATGCTCTGGTCAATTATTCCAAAGAGCAAGACAAAAAGTAAGAAGCACACAATAACAACAGAGTGCAAGAAAACAGGACTGACTACAAAGCAGAGAAGAAGACAAAGAAGTTGTGTCAGGCTAATTGATAAAGATATGAAATTTTCATAGTTGCTTTCACTGTGCTGATTAGGAAGAGGTGACTTGAGATAAGAAATTTTCCTCATAACTGTGGTACTTGTTGCAGAAAGCTAAAGAGTAGGTAACAGTCCAATGTTTTGACAAAAGAGGAACAAAGGTTTAAGAGATAAGAACACCTAAACACTATGCTAAATCAAAAATATTGTTATGTAGGGCCAAAGAGATGCCACAGATAAGAGTGTTTTGTCTTTGTATATTCTTCTATACACAACTCTCTCCAGTAATTTGCCTTCCCCAATACTGGCTGTAGGTGTCCAAAATGAAAAAAAAGAGACAATATATTACAGCTAATAATCGTTTGGTGTTATAAAATGCCATTTATTTCAGCCTGAAATTAAATCAGATTTTAGAATCTGA